TGCTAATATAATGTCAGGCTGCGCTAGGTGTCAGCTTGGCTAGCTTGGAAGCTAGCAAAAAGTAAACACTCCTGTAGAAAGTCAATTGTTATGAAAATATTCTAGGAAATGGTAATTTAAAATATATACATACCATCTTTAGGTGCCTGTCAATACTGTTACAGTTATCTTACTGTATACAAATACTGTATACTATTTATTTTTATGTAATATGTAATAATAACATGTATGTGTAACACTATTGGCAATAGAAGAATATGGAAGAGCAGGCACTTAAAAGTGTCACAAAACATGCACACAGGTTTTCCAATCATTCTACCAGCCTACCCACCACATAAAGGTTCTCCAATTAAGACTAGTGTGCTTCCATTTCATGTATTTAAAAAGAGAGGAATGAAAAGAAAACGATTGGAAGATGTGAAATTTTATCCTAGATCACCAGGCAGTTCAATTCCTGATTATACAAACTTTGTTGTTAATTTGGCACTGAACATGCAGAGTGGTTCAGTGCCAAATTGCGATACCAATGTGCAATTAAGATATTGCAATTAAGGCAACCAACAAACATAAGGGCTTTAGAGTCTGATCATGATTATTGTAAAAGCACAATGAAATGTTTTTAAGTGCTTTACATATAACTGAAGCAAGTATGGAGTATATAGGACATTTGGAAAAAGAGAACCAATCACAATGAAAAAGCATAGTTTGGAAGAAGAAACATTTGTTGCATTTGACATCTTCAAACTTTGAAAAAGTTTGTAAATTAAAATCAGCAGACACACTAAAATTGTGTGCTTTATTACTGTCAAGCTTGCCAATAAAAAGTAAGGCAATTTCTCACGGATTAAGATACGAAAAAGAAACAAAAAGTCATATTCTTATGTAAATACTGCTGTGAAAGAATGTGGTATGTTTTTTCGTCTAAAATACCCATTCTTAGCTGCAAGCCCGGATGGGCTAGTGGATGACGACAAAGTATTAGAAGTTAAATGTCCTTATTCAAGTTTTAAACTTCCTGTGAATGTGGAAAATGTACCACATTTGACTTTCCAAATGTACTGATGAGAGAATTACTGTAAAACAGAATCATGATTATTTCTATCAAATTCAAGGACAGTTAGCAATGACAAATAGGCAAGTTGCTCACCTGTTTATTTATGCTTCAAACTGTCTTCAAAGTTTGTATTATTCCAAGAGATGATAATTTCATTGCAGACATGATTGAAAAACTACTTACGTTTTTCCATGAGCATTTAACTGTATTTTAACGTGTTCTTTTACTAGATATTTTTCTGTCTCAAAGTAACAAAACTGATGTTCAGCTGTGCTTTTCCTCTTAGAAGTGGGTATAGTACTTAGCAAGTCCTGAATGTTAAAACTTCCATTAGCAATTACACAGTCTTTTGCCTCTGTTATTTTACACAGTGAAGACCTTTCTACAACCTGTCGATCACTTAATGAACCACCTTATGCTTCTGAAACAAAACTTATCAGACCACCTGGTGTGCAACCTACAATTGCTTTTAATGTGTTGTCATTTTTTATATGATGACCACGTAGCCTGCTGTCCAACAGGATTTTTTAGTTTGCTTATTTTGCATTCTAGAGAATCAGTAATAATTAGTATTTGGAAATTTCATTTTAAAATCACTAGGTATTTATGTGTCAACAAAAGATCTCTCACTGCATAATTATACCCAATTCTCACCATTGTAAATACATGAAATTGATCCAAGTGATGAAAATGTTTTGTGCTGTTTCTTCAGATACAGTGAACATCCTACTCAACTCAAAATTTGCTGTATTCAGTCTTAATTTTATTAAAGTGAAGAACAACTGGTTTGGCACTGAGAGTGTTACAACCCAAAACTTGTAATATTTTAAATTCTGTGCTGCTGGTCCCAAACTTTGTGGTACAGACTGACATTGAGACTTTAAAAGTATGTGTCTGTGTAGTTACACTGACAATAGTGCTTGCCATGTCATTTTCAATAGGCCCACAGGTAGCCTCCTCCTCCTCCTCCTCTTCATTTATTATTAGTTCTCCTATTTTTAATGTACCAGTATTCATTATATAGGATGCGTCACGATTATCTTGAACTTTGTGTTCACAGTTATCTTTTCTTTCTCGTCTGCTTGCAACCAAAGGTGGTTTTTTTTAGACCAAAAAAAGTATGTTTGGTAGAGCATCAGCCTTCAGTTGTCTCTTTGTTGGGAGGCTTCTTAATAAAGTAAAATAAATCTATTCATTTTTTATTCAGCATAAAAAATTAGTAACTAAATCCATGCTATTCTATATACTTTTTAACCTTTATTAACTTAGCATTAATGCTATGTAAGTGCTCAAAACCTGCATCTACTGTTAGGGCTTATCATACCTAAGTATTAAAACTAAACAGAGACTTTTGATTTAAACATCAAGTATTTTGCAAGTGAGGTGCTTGCAGTGTCATTGATACTAGTGCTACACATGGAGTAGATTTCATTTTTTTCCCCTATTGCCTTATGAATCTATGTAAATCACCAATAATTGGCATATTCATTAATAATTAATACAAAAAATACTAGAGATTGCAGTACTAAAATGATATTTTTAAACTATTTATACTAATTACAGTTTAAATCATCATAAATTTGTATTTTGATTAATTGCGATAAACTAATGTAATAAAATAGTATTAATGATAAATTATATAAAATTATATAAATTAGGTAGTATTAATTTTACTTGAAGAAATAAGTAAAGCATGCGTGGTCAAGACAAGATTAAATCAAAACCAAAATTTTAAAAATTAGTAATATAATTTGAAATGTAGTAATAATTGCATAGTAATATACAACTCACACATTTGGATAGGTGAGAATATGGACGAGGGTCAAGGCCCTCTAATTGTTAGATCCTGTAGACCTGCTCACTTTGTCACTGGATGGCTTATTCTAACAGAATCCGAGTGGTAAAATTCTGTGTGGGGTTCGGTTGTGTATAGTCAATAAATGCTAGACTAAGAAGGTAATATAATATAAAAATCAACAATTTAATCACAGAAGACCAAAATAACAAGGACAAATAATAAAACAGCAAAACATAAAACATATGTCTAACCTAAGACTATAATCAGTATGAGAGAGAGAGTTTACAATACTTTTATATTACCTCATTGTTCATTCTGGAGGAGCTGGTTATATGTAGGTCTGAGCAGGATGCTGGACATCACGGTGGGATGGCTAGTAGGATGAGTAGCAGGAGGAGTCGTATGTGGCACGTTCTATCAAGGATGAACTGCCCCAAGTGTGTGGAAACCTGCCCTTTTGTTACTGAATATGTCCCAATCCTTTTACTTAGAAGCGCATCATCTGACGGGATGCTTAGTTGTGTCATTCGGACAGGTGTTTGGGAAAATTTAAGATATGAGGTGGAGGAAGGAAGCAAAACATCCTCATTTCTCAATAAAGGTTGCATTATAGAGCATGTTTTCAGAATGTTGAAGTTTAGTAACCTTTTTTGGTTTAAAACTTTAATACAAGTTTTAAACAAATTTAGCTTAATGTGGTTTTTATGTAAAGTGCAAATTATGCAAATTAGATGTGTATCTATCCAGATTCTCACAGATAATTCATTCTGAGGCTTTTTTAAATTAATGTATCATTTTTTATAAGATATTTGTTAAAGAAGTACAGTAAGGCCCTGCTTAATGTGGACGATTACATTCCTAGATGACAAAATGCTAAATGAAACAGCATTAAACGAGGTCATTTTAACACAGAGTAAATAGGGAAAGGGGAACACGCAACCAAAAGTACAGAGATTTTACTTTAATTTTAAGTTAATTTTTATATTAATTTGCATAATAATATATGTTAAATAATAACACAAATATATGCACACAGAAATGTAAAGTTCATTTTTTGTGATGTGGGTCGTGACTCTTCTGAAATTCTTGATTTTTTGCGATGAAGTCATCTAGTGTCATTTGTTGTGTTTTTTTTGTTTCATTATGCAAATGTTGGTAGCAGGAGACTGCAACCAAAACGCCTCATCTTGCTTTTACACTCCTTTCAAAATCTGGATCATTTGCAACAATTTGATCAACAATTTCGGTTACCATTACCAAACTATTAATGAAGTCTGTAGAGATATTCTTTGGGTTTTTTTGTTTTCAGAATCACTGTTTTCTGGTTCTAGATGAATTCCTTGTTCTGCCAGTTCTTGAAGGTCATGGTTGGTAAGGCTCTGAACAGAAATCTGCAGTAATTCCTTAATATCCTGTTTGTCTACATCTCCAATTCTTACTGTATTGATTAAATTGACAATTTGGTCAACGATAGACTCTTCTTGTTGAGAATTCTTAGATACCTTCAGCCATATCTTTCACATTCTGTTTGTGCATTTATCAATTAATTCTCACCAAGCGAAGTCAATATTTCCTATGGTATCCATGATGTTATATTTTTTCACTGCAAAATTGCACCAAACAAACATACATTTAATGAAAGTACAGTGCTACGACAAATTGCCACCTCTTGCTGATTGGTTTGTGTTCAGGAATTATTGTATTATATACGAATCAATCAAATGCCGCGTTAATTTGAATCAGCATAAATTTTGAGCTTTTTTAGGCTTCGAGTTAATCGCATTATATCGAATCGGCATTAATCAAGGAAGCGCTAAACGAGGTCTTACTGTACATCAAATATGAAAAGTAAGCAAAATAGCAATTTCAAGAATTCAAGTGCTTTCATTTTGCACATTTAATCTCAATAATAAACTGAAAAAATAAAGCTTTTTGATACAGGAAATATCAGAAATAGATTGATATTTTTCATGCATGATCTTGAGTAGTGATTACAGGTCCAAAGTACTTTTCCTAAAGAGCTTAAACTTTGAATAATTTTTACCGTTATTTGTTTATTGTTATATTTGAGTAAATTTTTGTTAGATAAGTTTTTTAATAATTCACAGTAAAAAATTTGTAATAATTTGAATTAAATTTTCATTTACAGGCTTTAAAGTTACGATTGCAAACAAAAGAATTAGCGCACGTAATGAAGATTTATAAATTTTGTCAAGTTAGGAAGTTTTCAAGTTGTTATAAACTTTATTTTGTGCAAGGAATCAATCAAGTAAGGAACAATACATTAAATTCAAGAAACAAAAGTTTGAATAATCCACTTTATTTTCATAAGTTTAAATATATTCCATATTGTTATAATTATTATTCTAATAACACATTACTTAATTACGAAAAACTGATTCCCAAAATAAACGACCACGAAGAATGGAAAATATTTTATAGATTTAGTTATATCGTTCCCGCAAGAATATTAAATCGTTTAAAATTGTATCAGACTTGCTTTACTTTAGTCATTTTACCTTGTGTGACTACGATGTATTTTCAAAATTTAGTTTCCTTTGCGAGCGTTCAGTGTTTTTATTGCATTTCACTGTTTGCATGCATAATGTTATATGTTATGGGAAGTTGTTTTGGTCGACTTATTGGCAGCATGTATCTACATAAAGATGATGATGTGTTGAAAGTATCACATTTGAACTTTTGGGGAAAGAGAAGAGATTTTTTATTACCAGTTTCTTCAGTAATTCCATTAATAGAAACTTCCTCTAAGGGAAATGATATATTTGTGAAGTTAATGAAATATGATTCAAAAATGGTAATGTATTTTTCTTTAAAATATGGCGAAATTATAGACGAAGAAATGTTTGCTCATGTTTTTGGATCAGTTGAACATCTTTAGTAAATACTTTTTAGAAGTTTTTTTTAATGTAAATTTGTTGATAAAAATTATTTATGAACTAAATATGTGTGTTACACTTTAAAAGTGTATAAAATAGTTTAGCTTTAATAAATTTTCTATTTAAAATGATAAGAAAGCTTTGTCGATTTTTCATTATGCATACTTTTGTAGATTAATACTTAATTTTTTTGAAAAAATTCATATATGAAGAATTTCTGCTCATAAAACATTTTGTACATTTTTAAGAATATGCTTTCTGTCTTGACTTCAAATGAATTTTATGTAGAGTCTAATGTTATTTATTACAACTTTTTAATGATACAACCAGATATAAATAGAGCAGTTTTAATAAAAAAAAAAATTATTTATTACAAAAGTACATGTATCATAAATACTAAACTTTGCTGGAGGTAATATGTCAATTCTATTTGATGTTGAAATAAATGGCCACTGTACGTAAATAGAACTATAATGTGCTTACTTGAAGCATAAACTAATCTCCCATTTAATGGTTATTATTTGGGAAAAAGATATTTTTAATTATTTTATTTAAAGTGATCTGAAAACACAAGCTTCACGAGATGATCATGCTTCATCTACATGCAGTGAGTAAAGTTTCATTTATCATCACGCTTACATATAAGATGATTCTTTGAACAATGGCAATTATTTTTAAACTATATTCAGTATATGTTTTAAATACGTACTATAAGAGAGAGTTTGGTGATGTTCTCTTAATGATGCCAACATTCTTTGATCCATCCACTGAAGAGTTGCGTTACACGAAAAGAAAATTATCCAACAACTTATGTATGTTGGGTATGTTAAGTAATAAAATTAGCTTTCCTTTTATACTTCATATAAAAAGATGCATTTGACATAGTTATATTTTTCTTCATTTAATGCAACTTTTTATGTATTTGTTCTTACAAGTAAAAAGTTCATATCTGCACATTTAGTAAACTTAAAATACGCATATTTTTCAAAAAGAAAAAGTAGATAATTCTTCTTTTTCATGCTAGAATCATATATGCTTTTTGTTAATCAAATATACAGATACTGTTTTTTGTTTTTTACATGTTATGTTTCAAGAAAAGACTATTACTCTGACTATAAACTTAATTTGCAGTTTTATAATATTGATTAGAAATTTAAATGTTAAAATATGTTCAGATAGCAGAGAGGTTTACTAATAATTGCTTATCATTTAACTTGAACTTGAAAAATATTACAATATTTTTTTAGCCAGTTATTACTTAAAATAATTACTTTTTTTTTTATAAAATATATTTGAAACAATAGTATTTTGCACCTGTTGTTTTTTAGACAAAAAAATGAGTTTTTCCCAGGTATACAAGTACAGTGAAATTACATAAAGCATGTTTTTATGAATTTTCACAAGCTATTCATGGATTTCTGATAAATTTTTCCTATTCAAATTATTCTGAAGTAAATATCAAAGCTTACAGTCACTTTAAGATATAATTTTTAAGATTTAAAGTACCGGTAAGTGCCATGTCACAAGTCAATGTTCCTATTAAAATCTGACAAATAGAAGCAATCTTAGCATAAATCTTATGTTTTAATTCATAATTATCTATTGTTGAAATGAAAATACAGTAAAACGAACTTCAAAACCATTTTATTTCTTTCTAATGTAAGACAAAATTCACTAATGCCTGTATTCACCACCAAGGATCAAGCATAAGAATTACAAGTTAATGAATAATCATTCATATTTTATTTTCATTTTCTTATAGAAATTATCATTACATCATAATTAATTAATAAACTTAGAAAGAAACATAAACTGATGACTAACAGTTATATTAAATGTCATCTGTAGTCAGCAGTTTATTCTAAATTTCCAAAACTTACAATTGTTATACATTAATTTTATCTCAAATAATAATAAAATAAATTCCTATCCTACGTAAAAATATAAAAAAATTTATGAAAGATGAAATGTATTACAGTAGAAGTTTGTTAATTTAAATCCATATAATCCACAATGTTCAGTAATCCGGCATTTTGAATGGAATTGTCCCATAATAATCGGTCATGCTAGTATTACAAACACACAAATCATTGTGAATATTTATTGTGTACAATATTCTGTTTATTAATGTTTTCGAAGGTTTTTCAATCGATCTTAACACACACTAATCACGCACTGTGTCGTCTTCAGAGTGATAAAAGGATGTGCAATTTGCAAGCGTATAGTAATGTCTCTGGTAAAAAAAAAAAATATAGTAATATCTCCAACATTCAGATTGCATGTACTGTTACAGAATTTTGAGAAAAGACAAAAATATCCGATAATTCGAGTCTAGTGATGGCAGATTAACGAGTTTCTTAATTGGGCCAACCAGTGGCCAAGCGGTTCCATTCCCTGAACACTGGGCGTTTGGTCGTAGGTTCACACCTCGCCAGGACGGACTGGCCACGTGGAGTTTTCTGGGTTTTCTCCACGTCTGTATCGCCTGAATAGGGGCCAGTTACCCTTAAAAAACCTCCCTGAAGGCATCCCTCCCTAAGCAGATCGCCCAAGTGTTGCGTTGCCATAACTTAACTAAACAAACAACCTTAACGTCCGAAAGTCTTCATATAAAACTTGTTTAAATAAAAATAATCTTGTCAAAATGCTAGAATAATTGCTTTTATGTGACAATAATATGTTTATATTTTTGCAACAGATTGTATAAATAAAGTACATGAGACTTATGTTCTCGTAAATGTCACGTTTATGGAAAAATTCTTGGGCTGCAATTTGAAAAAATTGTAGAACTATAAATTCCGGCTGTTGTTCCTTGTCAGTCTGTCATTCCTTAATCTTGAGAAAGGAGTTATAAAGATTAATGTCAAGGCCAAATATGGAAAGCTTATGGGAAGGAGACCAGATTAATTGTATACGAACTTCTGTACAACCGGAAGTAACGTTACTTCGATTCAAAATTTTTCCTCTGAACAGAGTTAGATAGATACCAGCACGACTCTATTCCTAACAGGAACAGTGTGATGTGCAGGGGTAAGGCACTACTAAAATAATTGAGAACATTGTGACGAAAAGTTGCAGCTCGGCATTGTGACGATGTCACAATAAATAATCGCCCTTTAGAATTAGTTTGGTGTATTTGGTTACGGCAATGTGACACGTGAGCGATCTGCCGAGGGGATGCCTCCCGGGAGGACTTTTATAGGAACCTGAACCCTATTTAGGTGTTGTTAACATGAAGAAAACTCAACATGGCCAGCCCGTTGGCCATGCCTGAACCCATGACAAACTAACTACCAGTGTTCGGTGGTTTTATACACTCGGCTATTGGAGGGCTCTTATTAAAATTAAAAAAAATACAATTCGGAAATGAAAAAACAAGAGTCCTTAGATGTGGAAAATTAAATACTTATATACATACTATAGAATTTCAATAAGGTAACACTTCCATTCCATGCACGCAAGTGCTATATTCTACCTGTCTCAGTAATGATATAGCACGTCTAATTTGCGCTATATCATTGTCGCAGTAATTAAGTGAATATAATGTATATTTTAAAAAAATTATATAGTTTTTTGTAAGAATTATATGTAGTTTATGGTTTTTAAAATGTTTTGCCAATAGATGACTCTACGTGTAAATCAGCAAACAGAACATAGAAACTAATTGATTTATAGAAATCCAATGTATATTTTGGGGTGGGATGTACGACATTATCTAAGTTAGGAGTTTATAAATGTAACTGCTGAATTTCCTAGAAATTGGTTGAATGGCCTAGGAGTGTAACGCGAACAAACATTCTCATTTACATATATAAATTACACTACGGTAGACTCTTGTTAATTAGGCCATTTATTGAATAGATGATGTGCTAGATTTCTCAGAGAGTATGGACCTGAAGGCATTGAATGATGTGACTGTTGTCCTGTTTACTGATTCTTTTTGGAGGTGACAAATATGCCACTCTGACCTCTGTGGCGTATTTTATGGAAACGGGAGGGATAGACGAATGCACGTGTTAAAAAATTGACAAATTAGTTAGTTTATCTGTTTTTATTTGTGTAAGTACGTTTGTGTAATTAAAATCAACTATGTATGAGAAGTAAATTTCACAGAAAAGTTCTATATGTATCATTGCTTGTGTGTGACCATTACGTCGGCAATGCCCAAATCAGGACTGACACCATCTGTGACTTTAGGGGCACAGGAATCCTCCCATTACACATGTAAAGAAATTCGAAAAACATCGACGCGGCCAACCGGTAGTCTGGGATTCAGTGGTTATTTCACTGGGCCACTGGTAAGCAAAATTAAATGTATACAGGACTATACATCACATATATTATAATCAAGTTTTTAATTTATTTAATATATGCTCTCCACCTCAAACGACTCTATTCCTAACAGGAACAGAGGCGAGACACCACTAAAATAATTGAGAACATTGTGACGAAATATTGCAGCCTGGCATCGTGACAATGTCACAATAAATAATTGCTCATATTACCTTTGAATTTCCACTTTATTCTACTAAAATCTATTAATTTCGTTCTGTTAAAATATCGATAAAATATTGAAAATTTTCTGTTTACAATATCGTTATATGAAATTATAGATTCAATCTTCTTTTCAAGTAAATTTATGCTAATTTCTACTCTTCCCCAAGTAATGTCCTTCAAGTACAGAATTTCTTACGTATTGATATAATGAGAAATCGATGAGTAGATGTTCTATATAATATTCTATAGATGACGAGTAATATTTTCAATTATACTACTCATCATCATCATCTATACATGTATTTTTTTAATTAATTTACAGTAGTGTCATTAAATATAATAATTTACTTTTACAGTCTTCCATTCAATAATAGCATGAGAAGCAATATGATGAATTGATAAATGTTGGGATTTTTTTAAAATAAAATAATAGTTATAATTTAATAACAAGATTAAAATATACGCTATTATTTTTAATGGAATAATGAAAGTTCTTAACAATGAAAAGTTTTAGGGACTATCACCCTCGAGATCAGTATATAGTGATTTGTTAATGAATAAGACTTCTACATACAGTAGATCCCCTATAACACTGTAGATAATTCCGTGTTATATGAATTCCATGTTGTACGAGTCACTTAGATTTTACAAATACGTGAGCCGTTCATAGCCCGGCATACGTATTTGTAAAATCTAAGTGACTCGTACGACATGGAATTCATATAACACGGAATTATCGACAGTGCTATAGGGGGGTCTACTGTAATATCCTCCATTGTGGGCATGGTCAAATCTACAAAGAGTATGGATAACGGACCACATGGAGGAAAGAGTTGTCCATGAATACTGGGAGAAAAAAAAATTGTCCATGAATACAGTATACTTTCGCTAATTCGGCCATTTCTTCCCCAGTGTGATAACAATTACAAAGAGTGTATAGGTCTAAAGGCAATGAATGACGTAACCTTTCGCCTGAATTTATTCTTTTTGGAGACAGGCAGAAAATAATAGTGCGCTGACATGCAATGCTGTAGATAGAAATGAAACTCTAGTAAACAAGTGTGACACGACTAACAGTTATAAGGAAACGGAAGCGTATAGGCGATGGTACTAAAAGATATGCCGGATTAGCGAGAGCCTATTGTATTATTGGCTTGGCTGTCACTGAATCTGGGAAAAGCAAGAAGAGAATTGAAAGACACCGAAGAAAGCAAGCGTATAAAGATTATTTACATTAAATTATTAGTTTAAATTTAGTCGGTTTTTCGATTTTGTTTAATTTCGTGTATCGGTTCGATAACAGAAGGGTAATATCAGAAATAAATAAAATACAGTATCATATATTTTATAAACAGAAATGATTTTCTAAATATTTTTACACGAATGTAACTAATTACTTTTTGTTTTGGATTGATGGAATAACTGTCGATATGTCAAGAGGATGCCTCCCACGTGTACTTCTAAAGGAAATTTGCATCTATTTACGTATTAGACGTGAAAAAATCCGGAAAACTCCACGTAGCCAGCTAATTGGTGACACGCCATCCCACGACCAAAATATCAGTGTTCAGTGGTTTTATCCACTTGGTCTTTTACTTGGAATTAAGGCTGATTGTAACCAAAGCAACCTTAAGCTTGACTAATGTATTATATCAAATATTTATTAATAAAATAAGAAATAAAACTACATTTAAAACATTTACAGATACATTCACATAGAAAGAAAGTTTGTCTTGATATATACACTATCTCATAGTAACATGTATACTAATATACCGAAAGCATTTAAAATCTAGCTAATACATGTAAATCTTTAAATTTTTCACTGTTGCTTATAGTTCAAGTTTAGTTTCTTTCTTTTCGATTGATTGCGTGATTGCCCAAGGTTGTAGCTCTGCAGTTGCTGCTATAAGAAATACAAAAGCACTCAAACAATAAAACGAAGATGCCAAATAGAATACGTAGCTCCATTGAACTATATCTCCTTGCTGAATAAGAAAATATAAAAATATGTATAGCATGAATACTTAAGATAAAAAAATCCATAAGTTTCAACTTACGTCTTTGTCTAAGATGAGTCCAGCAACATAGGGCGAGATGATTCCAGTGATACTGGACAAACCATTGGTTAATCCAAAGAGGATACCTGAAATAAGAAAACTAGTAAAGAATTTGTTAAAAACCATTATATAATAACATATTAATTAACCAGTTTATTCCCAAAAATCTATTTAGTGTTTAAATCATAGAAGCTGGAACACTGAGATATCATGAAAGTCAAATTATATACAATTGATATAAAAACCTTGATTTTACCTGAAAAATCGGGAGCCAAATCGAGCACAATTGCAACATCTCCTGCCATACAAAAACCAAAGAATCCCATAGAAAAAGCTAAACACAAGATTACGTTAATGCTATTGCAACCGATGAAAGGAATCGATAAGATGCAAAGTCCCGGGCCAATTGTACCTTCATAAAACAGAAAACATAAAGGATTTGTTTATTTTGATAAATACGATTTTAAAATTATCATAAAATTAGAATTTTTACCAAGTGCTTCAGCTAATTTTCTGATGTTAGTTATACTTAACCATCCACGTCTTCTTACAAAGTCTGCCATAAAACCAGAAAGTATAATTGTTACAACATCCAAGGCGTATACCAATGCATTCATTACACCATTCTGAAAATTTTATATTATACAATATAAACACATTGATTTTATTAACACAAAAAGAAAACATAAAAACATACCTCATGAATAGGAAAATGAAGAATTATTTGTAAATATGACGGAAGTTTAGTCAATATTGTATAATAACCAAATCCCCAACATACTTTTGTGAATGCTACAGTCCACACGGCTCTTGAAGTTAATATATCTTTCCATGGTATGCTCAATTTCTAATTAAGAAAAACAAAGTAAATTTGTAAAATAAATAAAGCAAACGTTAAAGAAAAAAACAGAATATTGGCATTACACAGTCTTCTGAAGCTACATTAGCCACATTTTCATTTAAAAATATTAGTTCTTTATTAGATATCCTGGGATGGTTTTGCGGTCTATCGTAAATCACAAACAGTAAACACAAGGAAAGTACAAGTCCACAGGCTCCTGTAGAAAAAAGTTTATATAAAAAGTAAATAGAATAATTTAATAAAGGAATGAAGAATAAATTATATTTACCAAAAGTATAGAAACTTGAAGGCCATCCTGCATAATGGCAAAGATATCCTGTCGCGATTAAACCAACAATATTACCTACTTGGATACCACTGTAAGATAATGATGATAACGTGGTCTTTTCGCTTACCGGACTCCATCTAGCCAGGAGAGAGAAAGAGGCATGAAAGGAGATACCCTATAATAAAAAATATATCAATATATACTATATAAATAACATTCTTCTATGGAATATCATAGAATTTATATCTTACTTGCGCTAATCCGACGATTATTTGAAATAACGATATGACTATAACACCAATATCTGCAGTGAAAGGTGTCAGAAGAACGAATACTGATGATACAAACGTGGAAATTACGAATACTTTCTTCGGTCCTAATAAAAACGTAGTGGAACCACCCAACAGTTGTGCAAACACGCTGCCATAGAAATAACTTCCTAGAATTATTCCTTGGGTTGACTGTGTCCAGATATAGGAACCCTACAAAATATAAAGTTAGAAATGAATATATACAGTATTTTACTAATTAAAAAATAAATCATTAATATCTTTTCTTTGTATCATTATGGTTTGATGAAATGCCTACGAGGACACATCAGAATATGCCTACGTAGAGGGGTGTTCACGGGTTTTATGTATCTAACATCTAAATAGTGGCCAGTTTCTCATATAAAATACTCCCGGAGGTGGGAAGACACATGAAAAACCGGAAAACTCCATTTGGTACGGTGCGAACCCGCTATTAATTAAGTTTACATAAGATGTGTATGGCTTACTGGCTTCGTTATATGCAATCTATACGTGTCATTTAGATATATATATTATATTCATAAATACATGTATTTTTATATACATAAATATAGTAAATGCACATTGAAATTATTCATGTGCAATATATAAATATTTATTCCACTTTTTAAACTGCCTTAGATTATACATGCATATACAAAATGCTTCAAAAAACCGCGAAAAAGGTGGGCATTCACTGCGGTAGGGATTATAGAACCGTACTTTTTTGAGAACTGCACACAGCATAGCATAATTAAATAAGGATACACGTTTCCATTATTTTCTGTAGTGGAAATTTGTACCCATGTTCTTGAATTAACATGAAATCGCAACAAAACTAATTTACCCATTAAACAATGAATTTTATCGAAGTAATATACAATAAATCAGGGTTGATTAGAATATTCGTCGATATAAAACGAGAGAACTTGATACCACACAAGAGAAGTAAATAAGGAAGTTATCTAACACTTCTGTATTTCGTAATAAGAAAATAAACGTAACTTGAGGTAATTAGTAAGCAAAACAAATAAATAAAGTTTATAGAGATATAGTTCAATAACCGCACAACCTCGTTACAATTCGATTAATGGAATAAGCTAGTGTTTCAACCAAAGTACCGTAACGACTCTTCAGCGGTGCCACCAATGGATTGATCGAAGAAGACAACGCAACATTTTACGATTTGCCAGGAGGAATGCCATCCGATAGGACTTTCTGTGGAATAGTGGCTACTATTCAGATGTTAGACACGTGAAAAAACCCAGAAAACCCACCTGACAAGCCCATTGGTGAGACGCGAACCTCGTGTGACCCAATGCCGAGAAATAGTGCTGAGCAGTGCCATAGCACTTCTCACCTTCATTACCAAAAGTATAAGGAAGTAGGGATGTGACAAGAAAAACGTTTTTTATTCAGACAAATGTACTAACAGGCAAAAAAATATTCTTTTTCTAGTTTTCACATTATTCTTGACCAAAAATAAAACATGTGGCACTCATGTTTATAAACATTTTTAGTTACACTTTCTATCAATTTTTAGGAGATTTCCACGAGGGTCCTTTTTTGCTAATTGCTAAAATTGTTTGCAAATTCTAAAAAATTGCATTGTCATCGAGAATGCACACGTATTCAAAATTTCAATCAGATCGGAACTTTTTTTAACTTAAAGTCTTTTGCCCTGTAGGCACTAAGAAGGCCTCTCATAGCAAGCTCGTTATGGGTTCGGCCAGGCCCACAATGGTGTAGTCGCGTGGTGAGGGACGGGGCCGGACATATTCAGACGGACCATCACCTGAAAATTACAGGGGCCTTTCCACCCGTCTGGATTTAATAGATCGGAAGAAACTGAGTTATAAGATTTATCTGGACAGACACATTAAGTTAACGAAAAGCGTATAAAAATTATCCAGTGTGGGTGCCATTATTACAAAAAGTTTCAAAAACAATGGAATAAGGTAATTCAAGACATGGGTGATCTGCCAACGGTGAGTGCCTGTCAGGCAGACTTTCTATAGGAAACTGGCTCCTATTTGGGTGTTACAAACGCGAAGAAAACGCTAAAAATTCCACATGGCCAGCCCGTAAACCCACGATCGGTGGTCAGTAATTTCATCCTCTCGGCCACTGGTGGGCCGTCGAATCCGTGATTAGAATACAATAAAACCTTGGGTTTCGTCTGTTTGTTAAGTTATGGCAACACAAAACTTTGGGTGATCTGCCTAGGGGGATGCTTTCCGGGAGGTCTTTTAAGGGAAACTGGTCCCTATTTAGGCGTTACAGACGTGGAGAAAACCCGGAAAACTCCACGTGGCCAGCCTGTCTGAGCGCGGCGCGAACCCACGACTGAACCCCCGGCATTCAGGGTACGAAGACCACTTAGCCACTGGTGGGCCTCGGGTTTAGTACACTTCTGTTTAGGAACAATTCGGTTCATATAGAAATGTTTGATTGCTTTCTGATTTTAACCTTTAAGACCCACAATGTTTTGTTGTTAAAGGTTAATCTTCGTATTCAGTAAAGTTTCTGTAAACATTTTTAGATAAGTGCTATTAAACTTTTAACTGTAGGTAAGCAATCATTCGTAAAATAACGAACGAAATACAGCAGTATATCGGTACTTGAACATCGCGAATCCTGAACGAAGTTACACTAAATACAATACTAAACGATAACGCAATCCACCGCCCTCTTGCTTACGTCGAGGGCCTCTTCGACGTAGGCAAGAGGCTTGGTGACCTGAAGAAATAAGATAAGACTATCCTCCTCTACGATAAGAAATGACATAAAAATAAACGGAACACACATCCACTGATCTTTTGTATTTTGAACTGTTGCTGATTATTTCTTATGGGTATGTAAATAAGTGGTTTCTAGAGGTATTGTAAGCTATTGTTGTGTATGAATAATAACGACAAGCGTTACATATTTATAAATACTTCCACACTTTTCTGCTATTTTATGCAATGATTTATGAATTTGAGAACACAATTTATTCTATTTATGAATAAGATTAATAATTATTTACCTCTTCGTAACCGATGGTAATATTTGAATGAGTTTGGTTTGGACATTCGTCGGACGTTGTTTCATTTTGCATGTTAAAAATAGCCGTGTGATTGACCATGGCTAGAATGGAAACACTTAGTATAGATCTTTGGCAGTATAACAATGTATAGGTCAAAAATAAAAATAATGCCAGGACATAACGAGCGGGAGGGCAAACTGAAAGAAAAAAAATAAGTGGTTAATATTGAAATACAGCAACTAAAACCAAATGAAGATAAATAAAGGCAAACTTAATGTATACACAGTTTAATCTTAGAAACAGCTTTGTGAATGTAGTGTTCAATTTTATTTAAATGACAGTGAGAGACAAATATGTAGTATGTGAAGAGTAAGCTTGTGTTTAAACCACAGTTGCCAGATATCCCGTTTTTTTCAGTAATGGATCTAGGGACGTGAGGACTTTATTCTAAAAACTGTTCTTAGGCCAAACCTGTCATAGGCCAAACAGATAGGCCAAACATTAAAACAGATATAACATTCAATACTCATATTGCATCAAAATAACTTTTATCGTCCGTAAACCCTGATAATTTGATCGGATGACCGAATCGTTAGGACGTCATTCTTCCGCTTTGGGGGACCCGGGATCGAATTCTGAAGGTCTAAAAATTCACTAGTTTTTCGGGGGGTGATCTATCTGTATTACTGTTCCACCCCCACCAACCGGCTAACCTGTCATGGGCCAAACCCACGATATGTTTCGAATAGAGTTTCAAACCAAATTACGAATGTACTAGTTGTGATGTATAGCCCCTGAAGACCAACAAACTCCTTAGTGTGGAATAAAGATGTGAAACTAACACTCACACTACCCTTTACAAGTCGAATAAGATAGGAACTTTACTTGTATCTGAGTAGAAACAATTTAAAATTTCTAGTTTTAAGTACATTTCGAAGTGTGAACATTTAGAAGAAAAATATAATAGAAAATAGAATAGATTCTGTATAGTCTTTTCCATTATAACAAAGCATAAATCGACCTCTACTCGAATTGAACCTTAAATAAAATATTAGAAGTCAACGTTATTGAGTCATATAATAATCAATCATTTGTTTTAATGCTTTTAATTAAAATCTTTTCACTAGAGAAGCGAATGTATTAAGTATTAGCTTCAATTCTTTGTTTTATTAATTTATACAAGAAAAATTTTAGTAAATTATAGAAGAAAATTCAAGAAAATAATGAAAGATTAATCGCTAAACTTCATTCTAATTCATTTTAAATTAATCTACTCAAACTTACCTTTCAAATTCATATTTATTCTGTGTTATTTCTTTTCTTAACAGTGTGATAAGAACTGTAGAATTTTTCTTTTCTAGATATATAACAATATAAAATTACGATATAGAATCACTTGCATGGGAAATTTTCCATAAAAATTTATTCATATTTCTATCATTTATTCTTTATTTTATCTTCTATCATAAGTAAATAACCAACATCCACACTAGAAACAATGTCATTCCCAAATGAAATTTGAACTCTATTTATAAAGCTGAATAATTTATTTTTCTATCTGATATGTCTACCACAGTCACGTGGTATCGTTTTACAAATAAGTTTATACTCTAATCACGTGAAAGTTTTTAATAGCCTTAATTACTTTATAAGAGAAATATTAAATATCGTATTAAATATAAATATAGTAAATGCCANCGAATTATTGAACTTCACACCTTTAAATCATATGTATTGGCATTTTATACGAAAATTCTCAATATAAAATTGATTGAGTGATTTACTTTGTTTGATGGAGTACGGCAATGACAGCACATGGGCAATTTGCCAATGGGTAACGTCTCCCAGATGGATTGGGAGGGCTGATCCATATTTATTTGTCAAACACGTGGAGAGAAGAAAACCTGGAAAACTCCACGTGTTAGTCGGGTTAAGCAAACTGCAGTAATTCCCAAAATATATAAGTGTTATAAATATATAAAACTATAAAATACCTATCGAGAAATACTGAAATACAGTCGACCCCCTATAACACTGTAGATAATTCCGTGTTATATGAATTCCATGTTGTACGAGTCACTTAGATTTTACAAATACTTGAGCTGGGCTATGAATGGCTCGAGTATTTGTAAAATCTAAGTGACTCGTACAACATGGAATTCATATAACACGGAATTATCTACAGTGTTATAGGGGGTCGACTGTATTTCAGTATTTCTCGATAGGTATTTTATAGTTTTATATATTTATAACACTTATATATTTTGGGAATTACTGCAGTTTGCTTAACCCGACTAACACGTGGAGTTTTCCAGGTTTTCTTCTCTCCACGTGTTTGACAAATAAATATGGATCAGCCCTCCCAATCCATCTGGGAGACGTTACCCATTGGCAAATTGCCCATGTGCTGTCATTGCCGTACTCCATCAAACAAAGTAAATCACTCAATCAATTTTATATTGAGAATTTTCGTATAAAATGCCAATACATATGATTTAAAGGTGTGAAGTTCAATAATTCGATACCCTATAATCCGGGATTGTCCAGCAAGTAAAGTATTACGCGAATCGAAATTTGTGGTGAAGAGTACTGTTTATTTACATTTTTCCAGGCTATTGAAACAGTCTGAACACAGTATAGTCGTGCACTTTCTAAACATTACTATTTTCAGACAGAATGAAGAAAGTGCTTAAACAAATAGGAAACATACAGCAATATATGCCGATACACAATACCTGCAATGTTTAGATCAAGTGTAATATATGAAATTTTGCTAAAATATAAAGAAACGTTCGATAATCCGGCTCCACTCTAGTTTCATGAATGCCGGTGTAAATCCTGAAGGAAAGAAGTTATTTTCTTATCCTTCAGGATTTCCTAAAATGTCCAAGGATTATTCTTTCTTTTCTATTTTCCAGGAATCCTTTATCAACCCTGGATTATATTTTGATCCAGGTTTTAAAAGGATCTTAAAATGAATATCTGAATTTTAATAATGATATTTATTAATATTAATATGAGTAAATTACTATAATTATATAATTAATAATTGTTAATGGTGCTAATTACAATAATTTATAATGATAATAATAGTTATTATAATTATTAATCATTATTAATTGTTCATTAATGATGCTCATTATGTATACTTCACGTCATATATAAAAATAATATCTTCATTATTGAGTATATATTTTTTTCATGTAACTGATATAACGAAATTAAATTTCTTATTAGAATAATTTAAGTAGGAGGTATGGAAACACGAGTAAGATATGATGAGACATGGAATTCATACTCTCCATCTTCCATTTCTAAAAGAAGGGAAGAAAGGACAGTCATGGAAGAGCTTAATGTAAAAGTAAAACTAAGTAAAATAATAAAAATTATTTTATTTTACTTTCTGAAACATATTTTTATACATATATGTATATATATAAGTCGTTTTATAGTTATGCACAAGCCTGTTATCGATGCTCTCTGGCATTAATCAATGGAACCGGAACGAAGGATAACTGCTTTGCAGAAGAAAATAGGGAAAAATCCTTAAAAACAGGAGGAAAAACTGCTTTGTACGTTCAAAATATCCAGAAGAAAATAGGAAAAAAAATCCTTAAAAACAGGAGGAAAAACTGCTTTGTACGTTGAAAATATCCAGAAGAAAATAGGAAAAAAAATCCTTAAAAACAGGAGGAAAAACTGCTTTGTACGTTGAAAATATCCAGAAGAAAATAGGAAAAAAAATCCTTAAAAACAGGAGGAAAAACTGCTTTGTACGTTGAAAATATCCAGAAGAAAATAGGAAAAAAAATCCTTAAAAACAGGAGGAAAAACTGCTTTGTACGTTGAAAATATCCAGAAGAAAATAGGAAAAAAAATCCTTAAAAACAGGAGGAAAAACTGCTTTGTACGTTGAAAATATCCAGAAGAAAATAGGAAAAAAATCATTAAAAACAGAAGGAAAAACTGCTTTGTATGATGTTTTAAATACTCAGAAAGAGATATGGGGTAAGTATTTAAAAATGATTATAAATTCAGTTAATCTCAGATTATTTAAACAATTATTATTACTTAATTTATATATTCACATGTCCAGAAAACTAAAAAAGAAAAAACTGCCTTCATATAATATTACATAAGAAGAAATAAATTGAAGCATCCTGCTTCCTTATTGTTTTAAATGAAAACTGATAACGATTTCACCTGATATTCTCCTTTAATAAATAATAACAATTTAAAAAAATAAATTTCATAAATAACGTAATTATAAAACAATAATAAACGAATAGCCAACAGCAGAGAGATGATTGTAAATCTATAAAATGTAAGTAATGAACGAAAATATTATATAAAATGCTTTCGATTTAAATATTTCTTTTACAATTTTTCATAAGTATTTATAATTTAATTTTAAAAAAATCAGTAATAATGTTGTTATAATAACTTAACGTTTAATTAGTTTACATTCTTATCTAGGATTAAAAATTCATAAATGATTTATAGGGATGTGTATTAATTAATATTTAAAAACTTACTGAGAAGGGTTCTGATTCATAAACCCAAGTATTTAGTTACAGCAGTAAACAGTAATGTTGACATGAAAAATATGCGAATTCATTATTTATTAAAAACAACGAAAAGAATAAAGACTAAAACAAATCAGCAAGTTGGAATACCAGGAATTTTTCGGAGGTGGTCTGTCCAAAATATGTTTGAACCCGTCCGGCATTCCATTGAGGACCCGCCAAACCCATGGCCCATCAGCAGACGAGTGGATAAAATCACTAATCACTAGTCATGGGTTTCGTGGGTTCGTCTCTGACCACGTTGAGTTTTTCGGACTTTCTTCACGTGGGTATCACCTATTTAGGTGATACCCACGTGAAGAAAGTCCGAAAAACTCAACCTGCTAAACAGGGGCCACGTTCTATGAGAAACTGACCCCTAAATAGGGGCCAGATTCTCATAAAAATTTTCTTGACAGTATGTTGCTTTGTCGTATTCCACAAACCAAACCATACCGAACCCATGATGAGTATGGAAAAAAGGTCCCTATCAATGTAGATAAAGACTTAATGAAAGTATTACTAAACACCTTAAATTCACTCAATTTTCTTTAAAATTATTGCATTTTAATATTAGATTTTATTGTTTTATAAAATTATATTTATATTTTAAGAATTTATGCTGTACATATTAATATTTATTAAGGAATGTGTATGCTAATTAATTAACTTTGGCAAGACCCAAAGTTGGAACGTCAAAATAGGGAGGAGGAGGGAAGGAAGTGAGGAAGGGAGCCAACGGACCACTCACGAAATATTCCTGAGTCTACATACAGGATTCAATGTACCCCCCGAGACTAACTACCAGTGTTCAGTGGTTTTATCTACTCGACCCTTGGTAGGCATTTTCAAACTCGGAAAAAATGTCAAATTTAATGATAATTAACTTTATAAATTAATTAATTCATTCCCTATTAATCAAAGAAATTCTATATTCTTTAAACAAAAATCTCATAATTATCTGCCAAAATATAAAATTAATATTTAGCTTAATATCTGTATACCGAAAGCTCTTAATTACCGTTTTACAAGGTTATAATTTGACTCGATATATGAGATAACATTGTATTGCTGACAAATTTATAAACTATAAGTTATTTATCTTTGCATAAATTTGATAATTTCATAGTATAAATCTTTAAAATAATCATGAATTAATCATTAACCTTATATAATGTTTATAATTATTATGATAATGAAGACAATTCTTAGTTTTTTATACGCTTTTTATTAACTTACTTTGTCTGGCTGTTTGTCTGTTAACGTCAATTTTCACACGCTTTCCAATTTCCGATCTAGTTGTAAACTTATATCGTTGAATAGCCGCAATTCTGTTTTCCCATAGCACAGAATATTTGATCCTCTGTTTATTCACACCAATAATCAATTGTATCCATTGATTTCCATGCACTTTGCAATAAGTTCCAGTGTATTTTAGTGGAAAAATAAATTGAAACTGTCAATAGGGGTGATAGAACAACCTTATAAACATGGCCACTGATTACATTACGCTGTTTAGTTCTTCCTCTTCAACTATATTTTCTTCATCACTACATAACTTCTCACGCTATTTCCGTCAAATTACTTCCTTTATCAGAAATCTGCAATAAAATCCTCGTCTTCACTATTACTTTCTCTAAATATATAGTTTAAATCATCGTTATAATCTATAACACGGAATGGAAAGCCCATAAAACTGATAGAAAAATGTGACTAAGATTACTATAATAAAAATTCTGATACATTTTATTATGCCCACAAGTGGCCAAATGAATAAAAACAACTAAACACAGGTAGTTTGTTATTGTTGTTTTTGCATTCCCAATGGGTTGGCCACGTAAATTTTTTGGTTATTCTTTCGTTAGTAACGCCTAAACAGAGGTAGAAAGTCTTCTCGTGTGGCATCCCCCTAGAAATATTGTCTACGTATCGCGTTGCCATATATAATTAAATTTTTTATTATTAGTAATTTATAAATAAGTAAATACATGTCCCCTACATGTTACCCATTGAACACTGGTAGGTGACTAGCACAAATCAGTGACCAGAATACTGATCACCGATTCATACCTCACCAACGAGCAGGACATGTGAAGTTTGTCTGGTTATGTTCCATGTGTAACACGTAAATAGAGCCAGTTTTCCATAGAAAGTCCTCCTGAGTGGTACCCCTCTTGGCATTTTCACAAGTGTTAAACATCAATAATATGCCTATGCAAATATCATTATAATTATGACTTTAATTGATTTGTGGAAAGTAATCAAACTAATTTTTCATAGGCTCTATGCCATAAATTTGAGTTTGGTTGAGCTATCTAATTAAATTAATACCCCCTTAAAACGTTAGTTTATTTAAATGTGGTATTTCATACAATTATAATGCAAAACGTTTATTAATCATAAAAGCGGAAAGTCCACTATAGTTTGTTAATGATTAATCAAATATTTGTTTATAGAAAAACAACAAAATGAAAAATACCCGCATTATTCAGCGTGACTAATTTATTTTCTTTATTATTTTGAAAAGGCTCCATCAAAACTGCTGAATAAATTCATATTTCATTAAAAAAAACTTTATTATGAATGCTATAATATATAAATTTACAGGCATTATTTCATTATTAGAATGTTGAAGAGTAATTACTTTGTAGATTTTCTAACAAAGAATAAAAACCGTTTAAAATAATATAGATTTTGTACCCACCAGTGGACTAGTATACAGTCCACTACACACCAGACTATAGCTGATTGTGTGGAATTTTATGGGTTTTCTACGTAAATTAGGGTAATAGAAATTCCTCCAGATGCACCCCTTCTTGACATTCTATGTGTTGAGTTATGGCACCCTGTAAAACAATTTAAGTTTTGATAAATTCGTGTTAAATTCGAAAGTCATGCTTAATGTGTTCAAACCCACTTGTTATAATAACACGATGAAAGTTTTAATTTAATATTCTAAGCTTGTTTAGTTTTAGAAAAGAAACAACAAATAATATAATAATAAACTAAGATACAGTATCATACAAGCTTAAGGGATTAACGAAAGAAATCTTATCGCAGTGTCTAGAGTATCAGGGACTGTAAGTGCCAACTAATTTCTGATTTATTGAATACTTCATTCAGAATTTTGAAATAGGATGAGATAGAATGAGATAAAACAATACAATACAACAAAAGCACGACAGAATAAATTACATATTATTGTAATTATTAAATTCAAATCTGTTGAATTTCGATGAGTAACATTTTCACAGTTAATCGCATAAAATTAATTTATTATGCAAAGTATCTATATTTTAAAGGTCTTATACTCTATCATCTCACCTGGTACGGATAAAATCGGATAAAATCACTAAACACTGGTAATTGGTTCCAGGTCTGAGCCTCTNCGTTATAATCTATAACACGGAATGGAAAGCCCATAAAACTGATAGAAAAATGTGACTAAGATTACTATAATAAAAATTCTGATACATTTTATTATACCCACAAGTAGCCAAACGAATAAAAACAACTAAACACAGGTAGTTTGTTATTGTCTTTTTTTGCATCCCCAATGGGTTGGCCACGTAAATTTTCTGGTTATTCTTTCGTTAGTAACACCTAAACAGGGGTAGAAAGTCCTCTCTGGCGGCATCCCCCTAGAAATATTGCCCACGTATTCCGTTGCCATATATAATTAAATTTTTTATTATTAGTAATTTATAAATAAGTAAATACATGTCCCCTACATGTTACCCATTGAACACTGGGATTTGTATGATGTTTTAAATACTCAGAAAGAGATATGGGGTAAGTATTTAAAAATGATTATAAATTCAGTTAATCTCAGATTATTTAAACAATTATTATTACTTAATTTATATATTCACATGTCCAGAAAACTAAAAAAGAAAAAACTGCCTTCATATAATATTACATAAGAAGAAATAAATTGAAGCATCCTGCTTCCTTATTGTTTTAAATGAAAACTGATAACGATTTCACCTGATATTCTCCTTTAATAAATAATAACAATTTAAAAAAATAAATTTCATAAATAACGTAATTATAAAACAATAATAAACGAATAGCCAACAGCAGAGAGATGATTGTAAATCTATAAAATGTAAGTAATGAACGAAAATATTATATAAAATGCTTTCGATTTAAATATTTCTTTTACAATTTTTCATAAGTATTTATAATTTAATTTAAAAAAAATCAGTAATAATGTTGTTATAATAACTTAACGTTTAATTAGTTTACATTCTTATCTAGGATTAAAAATTCATAAATGATTTATAGGGATGTGTATTAATTAATATTTAAAAACTTACTGAGAAGGGTTCTGATTCATAAACCCAAGTATTTAGTTACAGCAGTAAACAGTAATGTTGACATGAAAAATATGCGAATTCATTATTTATTAAAAACAACGAAAATAATAAAGACTAAAACAAATCAGCAAGTTGGAATACCAGGAATTTTTCGGAGGTGGTCTGTCCAAAATATGTTTGAACCCGTCCGGCATTCCATTGAGGACCCGCCAAACCCATGGCCCATCAGCAGACGAGTGGATAAAATCACTAATCACTAGTCATGGGTTTCGTGGGTTCGTCTCTGACCACGTTGAGTTTTTCGGACTTTCTTCACGTGGGTATCACCTATTTAGGTGATACCCACGTGAAGAAAGTCCGAAAAACTCAACCTGCTAAACAGGGGCCACGTTCTATGAGAAACTGACCCCTAAATAGGGGCCAGTTTCTCATAAAAATACTCTTGANCAAGGTCATCCAGCTGTGTAAACAATGACTCATCAGTGTCAAATTTCTCAGAAAGGCGAGACAATGGAGAATAAAGTTTAAAGCTTTTTATTCAAAATTAACGCATTTATTTCGTTTTTTTCAGTTTTAAATATTATTTATGTTTAATATTAATTTATTATGCAAAGTATCTATATTTTAAAGGTCTTATACTCTATCATCTCACCTGGTACGGATAAAATCGGATAAAATCACTAAACACTGGTAATTGGTTCCAGGTCTGAGCCTCTTTTTTACTACCAAAATTCGTATTAGGAATTACATATTTCAATAGAATAAGCTCTCAGTTAGTGTTTTTCAGTTACTCAAAGAATTGTTTACCAAAAAATAGATATTCTACTTTTGGTTTGAGTATAAAATAGGTAATATTACAGTATACAATATTTTAGGCATATTAAAAATTTACCAAACATTTTATATCATGCGTTTAATTAATGTGAAGTATGCACTGTGACGAAGTGTATTAGCAATTTCTTGTAACAAAATAATAATAATGCTAAATTAAATAATGGCATACTAATGCTTTTATCTCATAAAGCTTTTAAATGATAAATATATTTGATATTGCAAAAAAATTAAATGTAATTAGCGGTATATTATATTAATTTACAAGAAAATCTCGGGCAAGTTACATAGTGTTACATAAAACTCGGGCTTTTGGACCCCCTAAAAATTTTTTTTTTTTGATTTTTGGAATGTTTTTTAAGTCTCCAAATTTTTTCAAAATTTTTTCCCGCGCGAAAAAATTTTATCGCGATTTTAATTTACCTTCAATGACGCACTATTCACGCTTTATTGCTTTTTAATTGTTTTTTAATGGGAGTTTGATATCAAATTTCATTCTTCGCTCTAAAGTTGTAGTGCACGGATTTTCCTTCGGTAAAGTTATTTAAAGCTACTTTATGATGTCGAAAACGACCTCCGATAGTTTTTAAATTTTTTTAATTAATAGATTTTATTACATATAAGTTTAATTAAGTCGGGGGGTCGGAAATCGCAATAAAAAACGTAATTTTTTAAAAATATTTAAAAATATACGACCAGCTAGTATTCACCCTACTATAAACCCGTCGCCTCCCGGGACTTCTATGAGAATGCCCCGGGAAATCCGACACCAGCTGTTCTCAAGGTCATCCAGCTGCATAAACAATGACTCATCAGCGTCAAATTTCGCAGAGAGGCTAGACAAAGGAAAATAGAATTTGAAGCTTTTTCTTCAAAATTAACGCATTTCTTTCAATTTTTTTCAGTTTTAAATATTTTTTATGTTTAATTACATTAATATCAAAAATTTCTTTGTACGCAACGGGTTGATATATCGAAATGTATTGTACCAGATAGCGTAAATGTACCAGAATGTATCTCAGATGTATATGAAACACAATAAAGTATTTAGTGACTACGTTTTACATTCGTAATTAATTTTTCTATAGAAATTCTTGATATCAGGGACATCAAGTAATCGTTCTGAGGTCAAAAGCTGTAATGGTGGTTGAAGGGATTCTTCATACAAGTTCTAACCTACTGGGTATTCTGTGTCTACTCAAAGTAAAAGTTTTATGAAAATTATAGACATAAATTAAAGATATTGCTTTTAGATGAAGAAAAGAAATAAAAATATAAATTCCTCGAAATTATTTTTGTTATTAAAATAATGTATTACAAATCTCTTCAATATAATAAAACAGTAAAGTTAATATTAAATGTATACTCGTTGGATCATTTACTGGTTAAAATTTGTAAACAACAGAATATACTGTAGTAGGTAAGAGTAGATAGGTAGAAGTACTAGCATTTTATAGATATGCAACGTCTCCTCATATCTTGTTTCATAGATTTCTTCTCGAAACTCGAATGTCCGATCCGCGAGACAAGGTGAGAGACGATGCCATAACCCTTGGCTTGAGAGCTATTTTTACTTTTCCGGCTGTAATATATAACAAAGATGAAAGTATGGCGATTCGGAAAAAATGACCCCAGGTTTTTACAGTTTTTGGACTTAGAACGCCTTGAAACATCGAGAAATGCGAAAAAGAAAAAAATTTGGGTGTACGATTTTGCTCATCTTGTTTGAAGCGTAATAACTCCTATGCTTTTTGTCAAAAATTTCTGAAATTTTCCAGAGTGATATTGTATTGTGTGTTAGGAGGATTGATGCTATTAAATTTTGGTGATTAAAGGTCGAGGGGGTAGGGAGATAAAGGAATTCGCGTGTATTTCGAGTAGGGTCGGACTTAATGACGATTTTACTCGTTATTAGCATTTATAATTTTTTCCTTTTTATAAAACCCACTTCTACCTTCAGAATTAAGCTTTCTGCTATTTTGTAATAGCTAAGAATATAAAACTTGGGCAATTCGTCGCCCGATTTTAACAAAACTTCTTTTGTTATTTTTCCTATTCTCGTTTCGGGAGTGGGACAATAACAAGTATAGACTGACCTACACAATTGATCTAACGTTAAACAAAAACGATGGCGCCCTGTTATCACATGACCAGACATAAATAACAATTGTTGGAAAAAGCCACGGAAAAACATATTATTACTTTTATATTTAGGGATTTAGAGTAAAAAACGTGCGAGCAATGTCGTAAGGTCTGCAGATCTTGTTGCCAGATTTGGCAATCTTTCCAGCCAGTTGTCGATTTGACAAGGATTTTTTAAATCTGGCGATATTTCTATACTATTATAAATTTATTTAAGATTCGTTCGCATTTTTCCTATAAATAGGACCGAAATCTGGCTCGGGCAATGTTAAAAATTACAATTGCCTAGGGCAGGGGTGGCGAACTTCTGGCACGCGTGCCCAAAATGGTACGTAAGGAGAAATCATCTGGCACGTTATGTATCTTACGCTCCTAGCCTAGAATCTAGATCATAAAGGAACCCGTTAATTGATTTGTAGACTTTTATACCAATCTAAGTGGTTAGTAAATAAAGTGTTCTGTAACCCATTTAGCTTTCGCGTTTTCATGTATTACAAACACCTGTAGAGTATGCTTAGTAGCGAGTATCGGTATCGGATCGTATTAGATAAAATTCGGTATCATATCAATTGTGTAAAAAATACACACGACTATAAATGCCTTTTCTCATCTGATAAATCGATATCTTCATTAATGACTCGTTTATGAACCGAAGATCAGGAGTCACGGCAGTGATTCGCAGCCAAGTAAAAAGTCACTGACTGACTTTATACAGGAATCAGTTGCCGATTTTCGGGGGTTGATTTCTCTCCACTAAACACCTAAAGTAATTTCGAATATCTGGTTAGAAAGAAAATTGTTTTCTTAGATAGTGTGCAAATTTTCAAGGATTTCTATAAAGAGGTTGCCGAAATAAAAGCAATTGAATAGTGCAAAAATCAGCAAAAATGTTGTATTCTCTTCATCCGTCACTTCAGACGCTTGTAGAGGAAAAACTAATGGGTCTAGAAAGCTCAAATTTTAAACTTAAACCTTTGTCGTCATCAGCGAGGTAATGGCAAAATTCCGAGTTGATAGATCAAAGTTCACCGATGTTACCCATAGAGCTAATTCAGTTTTGCGGCGTAATTTTATGCTTATAAAGATAAAATTGCACGAAAAGAAATGAATTTTATTCAAATTGTTACTCAAAATTACAAAATAAGCTTGGCGCTTGGAAGTACCCACATGATTTTTACCTGTATTTATCTTACATTTCGCCTTTGAGCGCCAAGCTTATCGTTACCAAAGAAAAACTGCTAATAAAAATTCGACCGCCTTCTAAATTGTCATAAATTTTTACTTGTCCAAATTTTTTTTTACATCTCAGGTGTTTTGTTTCATTATTTATTACTTACATTTAGCAAGATAATTACAGGGATAAAAGCACCGTAATTCATTACTGTCAACTGAATAGCATTATCGCATTCTCTTTAAAATTATCAAGTTTAAATGAAATTTAATTACATTTTATTCCAAATTTAAAACAACTCGAAATTAGATGCATAATATAGTTTTGTCATTTCTGCCCTGTGAGCGCTAAATAAGCCTTTTATCAACTCAATCGTATGTTAAACAAGGATTATTTTAAGTCCTCAAAATAAGTCTTTAAATCAGTTCAAGAGAAGCCACAAAATGTGTAGAAAATGTCTAGTAATATGAATTACTTTTCATTAAAACTATACTGAATCACAAAAAATTTAATTAAAGAGCATTAAATATTTTTGATAGTACAGATATGCAACTTTAACGACAGACCCCGTACGATAGAAGTCCCATAATATTATAATCGAAATGAAAAATTCGTAGATTGCAAGTCTCAGTACACTTTATTATGTTTGTGTTAAGCGGTGGATACTTCTATTAGTGGCACGTTGCATAATAAAGTGGCTATAACATAGTTAAATAAGATAGCCAATGAAATAGCCCGTTTCATTTGAAATAAACAATGCCATTTATTTGCTTATCCAGTTATATTAAAACCGCTTTGCCAGAGAACGTGCCCAGTAAATATGCTATACAGAGCGCATTAACCATTAAATAGTGTTTAAATTTAAGAGCATGTGAATTATTTACGCGCTTCGCTAATTAAAATCAGATTTCAGCCATGCGCTTATTTAACTGTCGGACAAGGGAATAAACCTGGAAAACTCTACGCAGCCAGCCTGTTTGTGAGGTGAGAACCCGCGACAAGCTACCAGTAATGGAGATTTTATCCATTCGTTCACTAGTTGGCATTTATTGGAACCCCCTATAACACTGTAGATAATTCCGTGTTATATGAATTCCATGTTGTACGAGTCACTTAGATTTTACAAATACGTGTGCCGGGCTGTGAACGGCTCGAAATCTAAGTGACTCGTACAACATGGAATTTATATAACACGGAATTATGTACAGTATTATAGGGGGGTCTACTGTATACCTTTAAACCTTTCGCGTACACTAGTTAAAAAAACAGTTATTTATAAGTATAAATGTAATATTTTCATAATAACCCCAGAAAGCTGCAGTTTAATACTTAGTAAACAGAGATTACACTTTTCTGTATGTATATATATATCAGTGTAATGTATTAATTAATTATATTATTATAATATTTCAGATGAATATTTTAATTAATATTTCCAGTCATGCTGATATGTTGAAAGTTATTCGTATAAAACACAATAGTTTACAGCATTGTTATCAACACTTATCAAGTAAAAGTACAAGTCATCTAATGTAATAAATATTAAGATTAGAACATTAACATGAGTCGTAGAGAAGAGAAAAGAAGGAGAGTAAACAAATTCTGAATCGAGTTTATTTTTGAAAGTAAATCAATATCTCAGAATACAATAATATATTAAAATATCAGGATATACCGTAACGAATTTAATATAGAGGAATTGTTCATTTACTTTGTGATAAACAAGAGTTCATAAATATGATTTATAAAGGTAAGAAAATTTATTTAAGTTAATAAAAATTTCTTAAATTAGATTTTTGTTATAAAAAATTAAAGATATTTTGTGGCAAATTAGTGATTCCTCAGCTTAGATGAGTGACATTTTTCTGTGTTTTTATTTTTGGTTCATTCTGCCCCGCGGGCATTAAGAGAGACTTTTTTCGGCTAGACCCAAAATGGAGGAAACGTAGTAAGTCCCAACTTATACTGGACAGACTCGTTAAAAAATTCCTGGAGTTTTTCGAACTCTGATTTGATTTCGAGTTCTCCTAGTAGTAGGCCTATACTTGATTAAGCCTTCCATTTATACTTCTACGTATTTACAGGCATACAATAAGCTGCATTCATCCGGTCTCCTATAATCAGTTCGAATGTTTTGAATGTTTTCTGTGAAAAGCGAGTCTTTTTTAAAGATAATACTTTAATAAATTGTATTAAGATTAAATTTAAATTGTACAGTATATTCATCTGTATTTCATCAGTAGTACAATCTCTGACCTAGATGTACTGTATACTGATAAATGAACATAGAATTTTTTCTTAATCGTTTAAGCTGTGCCTAAAGATGGTTTAAAATACATTATTATTAAAAAATACATTTATGGAAATGAGACAATACTACTCCTTAAAAGAATATCCACAAATTTCCCTCGTTTTGTCTTAACCCATTACCCTATTTCAATTATTAATGTATTCACCCTACTTTAAACCCTTGTCCTCCCGACGTGTATGAGAACGTCCCGGGAAATCCGACACCAGCTGTTCTCAAGGTCATCCAGCTGTGTAAACAATGACTCATCAGTGTCAAATTTCTCAGAAAGGCGAGACAATGGAGAATAAAGTTTAAAGCTTTTTATTCAAAATTAACGCATTTATTTCGTTTTTTTCAGTTTTAAATATTATTTATGTTTAATTACATTAATATCAAAAATTGGAAAGTAGCAAGGGGTTAATTAAAACTTTAATTTAATTTTTAACATTCACAGTATTTACATATTCAAATTTTTAAGTATTAATTGTTGAGATTTTAAAGATTTAATAATGTATGAAATGTTTCTATTTCAGTTCATGTTTCCGCTCGTTACGTATTGGTATTCTCTATATTTTTGACATACACAATAATGAACTGCCAAAGATCTGTGTTGAGTGTCGCTATTTTAGCCATGGTTAATCATTCAGCCATCTACAGCATGTATAATACAACGTCTTCAAAGGAATGTCCAGAAAAATCTACCCATAATTCTGCATCTACTTATAAAGAGGTAAATGTTTAAATGTAGAATGTAAAGATACTTTATTAAGAAATTTCAGTAATTCTAAATGTAATATACATATTCGTTTATATATTATTACATATTTTCCTTTTGGATAAAATAATAACTAAGAAGCTAAATTATTTATTGCTCAAAATACTTAAATTATATACTCGACTGTTTAGAAACAATACTAATGTTACATATGTGCATACCTACTGAAATATGAATTTAAAAATACAGTCAAATCTCTGTTTACGAACTTAATTCGTTCTTAAAAGTTGTTCGGAAACCGAAACAAATTTTCTCCAAAGAAACGAGCAATTATTTATTGCGACATCGACACAATGCCTGGCTGCAATATTTAGTCATATTTTAAATGTTCTCCACCTGAATGAATACTGTCTTTTCCCCGTACATCATACTTTTCTTCTAACAGAGTCGTGCCGGTCATCTATCTAACACCTTTTAGGAGAAAAGATTTGAATAAAAGTAACGTAACTTCCGGTTTGCATTGGATAACTGTGTAATCTGGGCCATCTCTCGCTATGCTTTCTTTATATAATTTTTTATTTTCATGTATAACAAATGTTTCCATATAATAACTTTTGTTTAGTTTGTCTGACTCTACACTAATAAATGAGTTCACCGTTATCGCACTGTAGCCATAAATAATCCCGCCGAACTCCTTTTCCCTATAGTAAGTCTATGGAAGAACTTTGTGTTCTTAGTTGGCATTTACAATTCATGTTTAAACAGTTTTTAAGCTCTAAGTGGTAAATGCTATTAGGAGTGACTCTAGTTTAACCAATTAGTGTTGTTTGAGAACAACGGATTGGATGCACACTGACTTGGCTGCCATGCTTACGTTTTGCTGATATGTTGAAAGTTATTCGTATAAAACACAATAGTTTACAGCATTGTTATCAACACTTATCAAGTAAAAGTACAAGTCATCTAATGTAATAAATATTAAGATTAGAACATTAACATGAGTCGTAGAGAAGAGAAAAGAAGGAGAGTAAACAAATTCTGAATCGAGTTTATTTTTGAAAGTAAATCAATATCTCAGAATACAATAATATATTAAAATATCAGGATATACCGTAACGAATTTAATATAGAGGAATTGTTCATTTACTTTGTGATAAACAAGAGTTCATAAATATGATTTATAAAGGTAAGAAAATTTATTTAAGTTAATAAAAATTTCTTAAATTAGATTTTTGTTATAAAAAATTAAAGATATTTTGTGGCAAATTAGTGATTCCTCAGCTTAGATGAGTGACATTTTTCTGTGTTTTTATTTTTGGTTCATTCTGCCCCGCGGGCATTAAGAGAGACTTTTTTCGGCTAGACCCAAAATGGAGGAAACGTAGTAAGTCCCAACTTATACTGGACAGACTCGTTAAAAAATTCCTGGAGTTTTTCGAACTCTGATTTGATTTCGAGTTCTCCTAGTAGTAGGCCTATACTTGATTAAGCCTTCCATTTATACTTCTACGTATTTACAGGCATACAATAAGCTGCATTCTTCCGGTCTCCTATAATCAGTTCGAATGTTTTGAATGTTTTCTGTGAAAAGCGAGTCTTTTTTAAAGATAATACTTTAATAAATTGTATTAAGATTAAATTTAAATTGTACAGTATATTCATCTGTATTTCATCAGTAGTACAATCTCTGACCTAGATGTACTGTATACTGATAAATGAACATAGAATTTTTTCTTAATCGTTTAAGCTGTGCCTAAAGATGGTTTAAAATACATTATTATTAAAAAATACATTTATGGAAATGAGACAATACTACTCCTTAAAAGAATATCCACAAATTTCCCTCGTTTTGTCTTAACCCATTACCCTATTTCAATTATTAATGTATTCACCCTACTTTAAACCCTTGTCCTCCCGACGTGTATGAGAACGTCCCGGGAAATCCGACACCAGCTGTTCTCAAGGTCATCCAGCTGTGTAAACAATGACTCATCAGTGTCAAATTTCTCAGAAAGGCGAGACAATGGAGAATAAAGTTTAAAGCTTTTTATTCAAAATTAACGCATTTATTTCGTTTTTTTCAGTTTTAAATATTATTTATGTTTAATTACATTAATATCAAAAATTGGAAAGTAGCAAGGGGTTAATTAAAACTTTAATTTAATTTTTAACATTCACAGTATTTACATATTCAAATTTTTAAGTATTAATTGTTGAGATTTTAAAGATTTAATAATGTATGAAATGTTTCTATTTCAGTTCATGTTTCCGCTCGTTACGTATTGGTATTCTCTATATTTTTGACATACACAATAATGAACTGCCAAAGATCTGTGTTGAGTGTCGCTATTTTAGCCATGGTTAATCATTCAGCCATCTACAGCATGTATAATACAACGTCTTCAAAGGAATGTCCAGAAAAATCTACCCATAATTCTGCATCTACTTATAAAGAGGTAAATGTTTAAATGTAGAATGTAAAGATACTTTATTAAGAAATTTCAGTAATTCTAAATGTAATATACATATTCGTTTATATATTATTACATATTTTCCTTTTGGATAAAATAATAACTAAGAAGCTAAATTATTTATTGCTCAAAATACTTAAATTATATACTCGACTGTTTAGAAACAATACTAATGTTACATATGTGCATACCTACTGAAATATGAATTTAAAAATACAGTCAAATCTCTGTTTACGAACTTAATTCGTTCTTAAAAGTTGTTCGGAAACCGAAACAAATTTTCTCCAAAGAAACGAGCAATTATTTATTGCGACATCCACACAATGCCTGGCTGCAATATTTAGTCATATTTTAAATGTTCTCCACCTGAATGAATACTGTCTTTTCCCCGTACATCATACTTTTCTTCTAACAGAGTCGTGCCGGTCATCTATCTAACACCTTTTAGGAGAAAAGATTTGAATAAAAGTAACGTAACTTCCGGTTTGCATTGGATAACTGTGTAATCTGGGCCATCTCTCGCTATGCTTTCTTTATATAATTTTTTATTTTCATGTATAACAAATGTTAGTAGTTTACGATTTTCTTTCCTAATCTGTTGCAGTGCGGTTCGACTGTCACTGATGATATTAACAACTTTCCCAGAGAACAAGTGAGTATTATCTTCAATGTACTTTAAAGCCTTCCAGATTGCTAAAGACTCTGCCTGATTGTTTGAGCAGTTCTCGTACAGCTTGTAAGCTGCATCCCAGAAGAGCCGTTTTTGGGGATCCTCCAGATGGGTGGCAGCGCCAACTACACCTGTAGCTTTGGAACCGTCGGTGTAGATGCCGAGCCCTTTCATAATTGGGGGGAATGGAAGTCGAACAAAGGAATAACAATATGATGAATACCTAGGTATGCAGTGCCGGCCCGAGGCAAGTTTTAGGATGGAGCGAGATCCTATTATGGCGCTCCCCTTGGTTGCCCCTAATTTATATCCTTTAATTTTCTTTACCATCGATGCGCCCCCTAGGACTTAGCGCCTGGAGCGGCTGTTCCGTTTGCCCTATGGTAGGGCCGGCTCTGTAGGTATGGATTATCCCCAGCTCTATATGCTATTAAGCTAACCCGAGAGAGAGAGAGTTTACAATAAACTTTTATATCGTTGCTCATGTTGAAAGCTTTGTTGTTCTCTTCCTGGGAAGGTGGAGTCGGAAGGACAGGTTCAGCCATTGGAGTAGCACTCTCTATGGCAGATCTTGCTGGGATTGACTACCTCTCTATGGCAACTACTTCTGTCGTAGACTGCCCCTAGTGTATGGAACCTTGCCCTTTTATTACAGATTATTGCCCAACGATAATTCTTAGAAAGGTTGTGTTATTTGCACGGGTGGTGTGCAAAATTCTAAGATATGAGGTGTGGAGGAAGGAAGCAAAACATCCTAAATTTTTGATAAACTGTTGAGTAACATAGCAGTTTTTCCAGGATGTTGAAGTTTATAACCTTTTTTGTTCAACGTTCAAACGTTTGTTAACGTTTTTGAATAATTTTATTCAAAAACGTTAAAATTTAAATTAACTTTAAAGTATTTAACTTTAACATAACTTAAACTTTAACTTTAACTTAAAGTAAATTAACTTTAAGTAAAAATTAAATAAGTTAATAGGGATGGATTTCATGTTAAAATAAAGTTAGAGGTCATTCAGATTATCACACGTATGTTACATTTCGTCATGGGAAACTTAAGGAGTTACGCGTTTTTTTAATCCTAACATTCTTTAGTAAATATTCTGTATAATCAACTGAAACATGAATTATTCGAAGACAATTCATTTGTATAAATTAGAATGCCTATGCGTTTTATAAGAGCATAAAATGAATATTTAATATAGCAAAGATATTAATTATGAGCCAGTTTTTAATAGAAAGTCCTCCCTGGAGGTCACCTTCCTCGGCAGGTCTCCTAGTGTCGCATTGCCGTATACAGACGTTTTGATCAGAAACACCGTTCCGTTGTAGATTACGTCTGGAGAAATCAAAGCTAAATTCAATTTTAGGCTACGTAAACACTTGTGATTGAATCTAGACATTTCTTGCCAAGGTTTTTTTTTCATAAATACTAATTATTCGTTTAATTTCTATATCACTTCACTTTTTCTTCTGTTATTCACTGTTAAAATGAAGACGCGAGACCAGTCTGAAGTATACAAAACTTATAAAGTATAACAAAAATCTTGGAGACAAAAGTTCATATATGTGTCCACTGAGATTTTGTAGTCTCACTTAGTATTTCTTAACGTAATACTTTTAATATCCCTTATAATAATATTTCTTAATTCGGTAGCCGGTAAACTTAATAATTCATTTTGTATTTGAGATTTTAAATATGATACTTGTTTTTTGTTTTTTTTCCTCTTAAAGTATGTTTTAAAGTAGAATAGCTATTAGTGATAAGTTACATTAGATTAATTATAATTCCTTTTTTTGAATTTTCCACGCTGTTATCTTCATTCTCAATATTTCCCCTTAAAAGCAAAATATTAGTTGCACAAAACATTAAA